CCGCCTCTGTTCAAAGATGGTCGCTCGCAGTGGACATAAATGGCTTCTTTCACTCCTCTTTCGAACCATCTGTCCTCTCGTGTGAACATTGGCATCCTCGAAAGAGTGACCTTTGTTCTTCAGATGCAGATGGACCGCTGAGTCTTGTCCCGTGGAGGTGGCTCTTCTATGTTGTGCCATGCGCTTGTGAAGTGGCTGTTTGGTCTCTCTCAAATCTCTCCACATTGGCCATCTGACCTCTGGAAATCACATGATAGGTTGGGGGCAGGTTTCACAATGAGCTCACCCGAAACCCTGGCTGATTGTGACCCACATCCGTTTTCACACCTTGGCTCATGTGATTAGTAGTAGTAGTAGAGGATCATCAGGGGGTCCTTTGTCCCTCTTTGGGGGGAAACTTCCACTGGGTTTAAATCTGGGACTGTCCACCATTTGACCTTAGAACTGAAGAAGCTTCTTGGATGAGAGGTGAAACGTCTTCAAGCAACTTACAGAAGTCCAGACGCTTTTCTTTTCAAGCTCCTTAGACTACGATGACCTGGATGACTGAGAACCTGCACAGACATGTTGTCAGTGTTCCTAATTTGAGCTGTTTTTCATTCAAATGAATCACCGAACCTCAAGGAGTTTATTATGTTTAACTATTACACGCAACAGCATTGTTTGTTCTGAGATTTTAGCCTGTTGTTAGATAGATGGTAGGCAACCTGATGATGTCATTATAGCTGATACAGATAAGAACCTTCAGAGGCCAAAGATAAACCTGTGTGTCAACTTTGGTTGCTCAGCTCCTATTTACGTACATGTTTGCAGGACAACAAATAGACGGATGTTTTGTGTGTCATAGTACGATAATGAACTAAAGCTGTCAAAAGATTGTGGTGGAGTAAAAAGTAGAATTTGTTACTCCTTTGGAGATGCAGTAGACGATTTTAAGTTTTAATTTGCACGAAAACGAAATGGTGAGGTAAAATACAAGTTTCTCATATTTGCTACATTCATAATAATGTACATGGAGGAAGTCTATATTACATTTTTTAAATTTATTTTAAAAGTATTTCTCATGTAATTATTCATGTCTGTGACTTTCTTGTCTTCAGAGTCTGTGCTCCAAGCCGGTAACTTTGCTGATGACCTGGGTCTTGGAGCAGATGGTAAGCATACGCTGTATATGTTCATGCATGGGAAGACAAATATACATGACTGCATGCATACTTAGTGTTATCCTAAAGGAATTTTAGGAATTACATAGATTTTTGCCTGGGGTTAGCTCTCTGTGTCAGCTCCCTAGTACAAAGAGTGTGCGATGTGCCACTGAGTCGGTGTGAGAATAGCAAAGGAGTGTTTCTGGATAATTCACATTGATTGACTGGAGATGTCAAAGGTCCTGCCCCTTGCTCTCTCTGCTAACTCTTCTAAATCAGACTGAGTGTTTGTCTTCACGTGACTGCATCTAACATATTAATTCCTGTTAAAGGAAAAAGGAAACTGCAGATAATGACAACCCCAGATATTTCTTGAGAATAGTTTTGCATTAATTTCCTGAAGACGTAGCCATAACCACTACTTTTCTCATATTCATCTGAAGATTAGTCAAGCCCTTAAACTAACCTTCATGTGTTCTCTGTACAAATGACGTAATAGTTGCTTACCCTTGTAAAAGACTAATAATAGAGCAGACTATATTACTATAGGAAACTTGACTGTGCATCCTGATGTTTTTAAATCTCTGTTTATGTTCAAATTAGACTGAGCAGTTTATATGTCAGTGACACACCCAGTGTTGTGCAGTGCCATGAGGATGTTTTTTGAGAAAGCTTGAAAGATATTTTGTTTATAACTCTTATGTTATGTCATGAATGGGCACACTTATTAAAAAAAAATACAACTTTACACATATACAGATTCTTATGGATCACATGGAGATCATATATGAAAAAACTGTTATATGATTGTTATTGTAGGGGTTAAGCAACAACATTAATAACCACCTAGCGGATATTCGGACTCTGGAACAATCAGCTTAGTGGATTGTAAGCAAAGGTCACAGGTTTTAAGACTTGTTGCATAGACTGAACAAGAGGTCTGAAACATTCTTCAGATATTTTGGCCCATTTTTTCAGCAGTTTTTCAACAGTTGCTACAGATTTGTCGGCTGTAAAGTTGCTATTATTGGATTGAGATATGGTAACTGTGGAGGCTCGTCCGGCCCCAACAACCATGTTACATTCAAAGTCACGTAAATCATCCCCATTCTGCTCAGTTTGAACTTCAGCAGGTTGTTTTCACCATGTCCACATGCCTAAATTTATTGAGTTGCTTATATGCGAATGACTGATAAGAAACTTGTGTTAATACGCAGCTGAAATTGTGTACCTAACAAAATTCCTTTTAATATTAAGCAGATAATTCAACAAAAATACCAAAAACTAACTCACATATTTTCCACGTCTCTTACTGAAATAAAACTGAAACCATACAGTGTTCAAAGTACAAAGTTATTAAAGGTTTAAGCTGTCAAACAAAGAAAGCTCAGTCTTCATTTACACAGCCATTAATTAACAGAAGTTATTAATTTGAGACAGGTTGGTGTTGTTGCTTGTTAGAGATCTTGATTGTCCCTTTGCAGGAAGCATTGCATTAAATGAAGGAAGAGTAGCGCCGAAGGGGATTTTCTACATTTACTCACATCATAGAAATATATCTACAACTTTATATCCTCTGTAGCGTTTTGTCTTTCCTGATAAGTGAATTTCTTCCTTGAGCAACCCTGTGGTATTGTGCCTGGGGAAACTGTCGAACCCAGAGGTGTTGTAATTTATTTTAACATGCCTTCCTGTTTCAGCTTCTGTGGTAGAAGATGGAGATGTTAAACCTGAGCCTGGGTGAGTAGTCAGCATATAAGCATGTAGTTATGGCAGTAGCAGTAAAACAGGAAAACAACAAATATTTGGTAAAGAACTGGTAGTCATAGGCATATAGCATAGGTGATCTTTACACTATATTAAAGGCATTTCTCATTTAATAATTTACTTGTAATATACAAAGCTTGCTGTGTGATTGTTGTCCATCATGTGACTTTATAATTTTACAAAATCAGTATTAGAGAAACGTAAATAAATGATCTAATGTTATTTATTTATAATTTTGTTTCACTGTGTGGTGACCAAGAAGCTTGGTGCGACAGCCGTCCTTCAGACAAAAGAGCAGGCTCACCAGGTCAGTGACCAACTCTTCCACACGTCAGAATAAACAGATCACGCACAAATAAAGGCTTTAACATGCAGGTTGGATGCAGTCTAACATCTGACACGTCTTATGTTCAGCACCCCACGTCAAGGACTATGTTTGCCATCAATGAACTTGGGCCACAGCATAACTTCTAGCTGCTTCTCTGCCTCAACCTGGAAAAGTACATCAACGTGAGTCTTTTAAAGGATTTAGTATTCGCCAAATTTTCAAAAATGGTTTTCAGATGACATGATATACACCATTTCTAACATATTATTCACTATAGTGGTTGCATCTTTGATGCTTTGATGATTACATTAGCTGTAATACAACCTTTTCTCTCCTTTTTCTCACACTAGTATATCAGATGTCCTCGAGTTGTGTTCAGAGGATGCAGAGGAGACTTTGTATGAGCTGGGTTTTGGCTGTGAGGAGCCACAGGTTACTGTGCGCATCCCTCCTCGTTTCTTTACCTTTCCTTCTCAGGCTCAGGGCATCAACTTCCGACTCTTCTTGGATTCACAAATAAGGCGGATAAGAGAAGAAGACCCCAGCCTCTCTCTTGCTAGTAAGACTATCTAGTTGTAGTTCTTCTGTTGGTTAGCTTGCTTTGACTTCTGTAGCTGTAATCTGTATATAATTATTTGATCTGTGATAAGGTAAATTATATCCATTTATATAAGTCTCTTGATTCCCATAGGTCGTTTCAGACAGGTTCAAGTGCTGACAGCAATGGCCAACGCTTTCTATTCCCTGTACTCCCACGTGTCCCGCACTCCTCTCCAGAAACTGTCCACACCGGAGTTTACCTTCTCTTCCTCTGTGCAGAGGATCGAACGGTTCAGAAGCAGCATTCGAAGTGAGCCACGCTCTCCGGTAGAGAGGCTGAAGGACACTGTCAATAAGATGTGTCTCTACACGGGCTCTCCCCGGGGGTCTGACTCCACCTCTCCACAGCCTTCACCCAGGAAAAGATCCAGCCTGCCAGAAGTTGTGGATATAGTGTGGAAAAACAAGAGTGGAGTTAACAAGAAGCTGGATTTGGAGGAATGTAATAGCAATAATTCAGCTATGGATGTTAACCAGATCACAGACGGTGAAAATGGGCTGGAAACTCAACAGTCAACGACGGACATGGAGATTCTCGAGGACAGAAATAAAACCTGTGAAACGGAGATGGGGGATGATAATAAACAGCCAAAGGATGTTGACTCTGGTGAAAATGATGACTCCATGACTCAGGGTGTAAGAACATCTGTAGCATCATCATTATCAGAAGAAACTGTCATAGAAACCGACTCTGAATCATTTTCATGTCAGCCAGAGCCAGACTCATGTTTGACACAAACTAACAAAAGGACAGTGGAACTAAAGCCTGTTGCCAAGGTTACATACGATTTAATTTGCCCCCAGATAGTCGAGAGTGTTCACCGGGCACCTTTTTGCAGTCAAAGGACACACAGTCCGGAAAGTTTGACTCCCCCAGAGAGAGAAAGCACAGATAAATCCTGTTCTGTATCACACAAATTCAGTCTACAAGCCTCCGTGACAAAGTCTAACCTGAATTCACACACAGACGATGTTGCCTCTTCAGGTGAGGCCACGCGGGGGGACGCATCTAGATCACTTCCTGTCTCGGAACCCAGTGGTAGCTACACTCATTACTGCATAACTGTGACTGGCTGGGAAGGCGATGATGTGCCATCCTCTTCTTCGAAAACATCAGATTCTAGTCATGCTTCGCACGGTTTCTATGGTGAGAAAAAGTCTCCTTCAGAGAAGCAAGGGCAGTTTCTCAATCCTCTGATGCACCAGAGCCTGGGCAAGCTCTCCAGTAACCTTCAGCAGGTTAATTCCTTTGAGCTGGAAGAGGTACAGTAGTTTTACAATAGGCTTCATGTTGCTTGTTATCTCAGCACTACCATTTGAAAAGAGTTTAACAATGCTTGGCTGACTTTCATTAAACAAAAGCAAACTGAGTACGTCACAAACTGATTCAGTAAACATTTTCCAAACAGGCTCAAGTCATCATAATCATCATGATGAAAATGGTATAAATGGATATAACAAAATGATCAAATTATTACTCAAAAGCAATCTCACCTTCAAATATTCCATATGTTCTTTCCTCTGATAATGTTTGGTATTGGCGATGAACCATTTATGATTCATAATACGTGGGTGTTTTGTGTTGCTCACTTTGACCCAGAATACAGCCTGCATTAGGAATATGTCTTGTGCTTACATTGTTTCTCTTTCAAAAGGATTTTGATCATTGATTATTGTTTGTTATGTAAAGAAAAACAGGCCAAATAACAATATTATTTATCAGAAGTATTGAAAACCTAACCAAATGATACAAAAGAGGCTCTTATATTCACTTATATTTGGCTTCAAACACTGTATAGTGATAGACATCTATGATGCAATGACTTCTTCGGCTCTTGCTGTGTGTAATTGTTCATGAAATTATTTTTAAACAGTTACTAAGCAGGCATTCCCCTTGTCTTTTTAGGTGCATAGTGCAGGAGAGGAAGACTTGGGACAGTCAGAAACTCCAAGAACTACAACCTCACCATTTTCAAAAAAACATCCATACAAAGGTACCCTGTGTGCTCACATCTCATTTGAGGAACTTGACTTTTATTTTGTGAACACAGTTTATGGGAATTTGACTTGTCACAGTTTTAAAATAGCTGTTTGCAGTTAGCAGTGGTCATAAACTCGCTGACAGAAAAAAAAAAAGATGCACACAGTTATAACAGTTAAAATGTGTGAAGTCAAAGGGTGTTGCCATGTAACACTGCTCAGCTACATGTGAATAAACTTTGAGCTTACTGGAGGTCTTGTATTGAGGTCAAATGAGGAACTGAGTAATTCAGGCAAACCCAGGTATAAAAATATACACTACTCGTGCTGGGTTGGACCCCTTTTTGTCTTGAGAACTGCCGTAATTCTTCACAGATTCAGTAAGGTGCTGAAAGCCTGCCTCAGACTTTCTATATTGAAATGACAGTACTGCGCACTTCTGTGATGGGAATCTCCCATTCAAGCACATCCCAAAATGCTGTGTTGCACTGAGATCGGGTGTGTGTGGAGGTCATTTCAGTACAGCGAACCCACAGTGATTTGAGCTTTGTGACGTGGTGGTGGAAGCAGCCATCAGTAGATGGGTACGTTGGAGTTATAAAAGGATTGTCAGGAGCAAACAATGCTTAGTTCATACTAAGGGGGCCAAAGTGTGCCAAGAAAGTATCACCCACACCATTACACCACCACAGGTCTAAACCACTGATGCAAGGCAGGATGGATCCGTGCTTTCATGTTGTTTACATCAGAATCTGACCACACCATAGGAAGGTTCAATGCTTCAATGTCCGATGTGTTGTGTGTTCAGAGATGCTCTTCTGCAAGGCCATTCTCCTCTGACATCCACAAGGAATTTTTCACCCACATAATTGCTGCTCACTGGTTATTGTCTCTTTTTTTGCACCATTCTCTGTAAACCTTAGAAATGCAAAGAGCAGCCCATCTGGCACCAACAACCACGCTACGCTTCATATCACTTAATCTAAATCACCTTTCTTGGCCATTGTGATTCTCAGTGTGAACTTCACTAGGTCACCTTGATCATGTCTGAACATGAACATGCCTGACTTGCAGCCATGTGATTAGTCAATTAGATAAATGTGTTAATGACTGGTCGTACCTGCTAAAGTGGCTGGTGTGTGAATGTTTGAGCATGAATATGAATTCAGCATCACATGAGAGCTTGACAGATGTGTACACAAGTAGCTCTGCAGGTGTGTGTTTCTGTGCCTATGTAGGTCAGTGTGCTGCTGCACTTGTGCTGCACTTCCCAGAGTTTGGAGAACATATCTGTGTTTGCTCCCTCGTATAGGTGAAGTGGTCCGCGGTGACAGTATGCAGTCGGACAGCAGCGGCTACGCAGACGAAGAAGTCAGCCCCTCATCAGACAGACACAGCAGATGACAGAAAGCTCATGCAAACAGCATGTACGGCAGTGCCTGAGTTTGTGAAACTCTGCCGAGGACTTCCTATCAAAATAAAATCATCGTACTGTAAGACTTGCTCATGTCACGATTTTAAAGGTTTTTTTCAGTGAGAATATTTTTGAACAAAGTATTACGTTTTTCCATTGTGCTCATATTTAACAAAGATTATTGTATTCTTAATAAGTAGGCAGTGGAAAATCTTTTATTTAAATGGCAATCTAGTCATAATACAGGTGAAAGGCTGCATTTCAAAGATTATTCCTGTGGAGCTAACGTTTTACTTCCATTTATTGTTTTTGTATCACAGCAGAGGAGCATCACAAGTTTAATGTCAGCATCACCATCAGTTTCATGCACCTTGAACTCAATGTCAGTGTGAATAAAACTACACAAATGTGTCCATCCTGCATTGAGCGACAGACGTTTTCTTTAGTAGTGCAAAAAATAATTTTATTAAATGACTTCACAGCATTTTACCAACTAACAGCTACAGTAAGGCAAGGTGAAGTGACACAACAGGCAGTTACACTGAATACTCTGGAAGCCAGTCATCAGCTTTTATGTGGAAACTTATCAGTCACATCAACAGAAAAACAAGGGGATTGTTTTAATACTTTTGGAAGTCCACATGACATGATGGCTTTGTCTGGTGTGTGATATTGAAAGCTTAACACACGAGAGTGAGTTTAATGTTGAGAAGAACAAACATTTATTATAAAACTCACTGTACCGCTTCCTTTTTCTGCCAACACATAGCTGTGTCTTTATCGCAACAGAAATGAATTTGCAAACTTAACGTAAAGTGTGAGAAAGAAAAGAAATTAGACTGTGACACATCATGAAACTACGTGAGGGCAATTCATAACGGAGTTTCCAAAATATTAATGTTCTTTAGAAAACATAGCCAAACATTCAGAGCACAGCGCAGCAGACAGTCAGCTTTAATTTGGGGGTTTTAAATGTAAGAGCCTCTAACAGTGTTTTGGGGGTTGCTTAGCTTTGTTTGTTTGGAAAGTTAAAAAAAAGGTTTGCTTACACGGCAAAAGTAGTCGTTCTGAAACATAATAGACTAATTTATGTCACTGCGTAACGGACTGATGTAAAGCCAGCATGGAGGCTAGTTTGACACATCGTGAGTAATGGGAAGCTGCCTTTGCTGAATCTTACAGTAAAACTATTTTACTCCTCTGAAGACCCAGTGACATGCTTTTATTTCCATGGAAACAGCAATGTGAAACATTTCATTAAATAAAACCATTTTCAACTCCCTGATTTAACATCAAAGTTACCTTAAAAAGCCCAGAACATTAAAAACATTATCAAGACACTGGGATTTCAGATACCACTGTGTCAGTTCAACTGACCAATTAGAACATATGGGGGAGGGGTGGGGGGGCCGCACAATAATATAAGTGGACTGTTTCAGAGAGAGGGCAACAAAAGGTGTAGCCACAAATAATGTGTTTATTAAACATTAAATCATATAAACCTAATCTAACAGACCCAAACAAAGAACTAGCATGTGACAGGGGGGCTATTTTCATACTAAAACCAACATTTTTGAACACCTGTGTGTAAAATGGTTAATCTTCAAGATGATTGTCCTATGACAATAACTCAGCAGTCTCTTTTTCTTAATTTTTCTTCAAGTCTGGGCTCTTTTAGGTCCGTGCATGAAAACAGGGATTTAACAAAGCAGCAGTGAACGGATGACTCCACTCCATTTTCTTCAGACCCCTTTCACGCCCTGGTCATTTCACGGCATCAGAATTTTATCTCAAGTTATTTGCAACGTATAGTTTACCACGATAGCACCATTTATAAATTGAGATGAAAACAACTAGGGTGATATAAAAAAGTAAAAATACATAATTAGTGATAAATATTGTAAATGTCAAGTGATTTTTTTGGGGGGGGGCAACTAAATCTTCATTGGCATCATCAATAGGACTTTTAAAAAATCTCGGGGCATAAAGAGTCTTCATTTCTAAATTTGAGGTAATTCATGTTATTTGAGTTCATCACAAAAGTGCCTCCGTCATCCAAAGTAGAAATTTATGATGGCATTTTGTAGTGGTGAGTTCAAGTCTGTGAGGGAGGGGGGCTGACACGCTCGTCATTTCCCTCCTGCCATGATTTTGAGGTACTGCAGTGCATTGTGGGCTGCGTTGGCTCGGGCACCATCTATGTTTGGGGCGAAGCCGTGACACACGGTGATTGGCTGCGTGGAGAGCTCCACGAGACACTGGCACAGGCCGCTGAGACTGCGCTCCTCTGAGAACAGAAGGAACAAAATACAAAATCACGAGTTTCATTTTTATTATAAAATAGATATTTACAGGATTGCTGCTACTTTTTAAATAATATCATAACATATGTGTGGTGTACTTCAGAATGAAAGATTTGACAGTTAACATTGTTATTAATACTGTACATCTAATTCAATGTACCGTTATTATATACAGGCATAATAATAATATGATCAAAACTACTGTAACTAAAACATATATAAGAATATAGTAATAACTACCCTCATCTACTGCGTACTTTAAGAAAAACTAACACTTTTGTCACGATTTCATAGATCATATAGTTTGCAGAAGATAAAATAATGACCGTGACAGGTTTTAATACTAAAAAAAAGAAAGAAAATGTGTGTTAATTACACAAATAAATCGAGCAGAGATAACAAACAAATGCCAATAATTCGATTCATTAATGTAAATCTGCTACGTTAAACTGTTGTTTCGGTGAAGAGCTTTAAGCGCCTTGTGATTTGGCGCTATATAAATAAAATTGAATCGAATTGAAACTGTCCACATTAAAAAAAGGGTTCTACATAAAACCAAGATAACAAGCAGCTGCAGGCTACTTCCTCAATATCTGGTGACAGTAATAACGACCACAACACAGCTTGCCTTTTTTTTATGGGCATGACATCAAAATCTACCCTGTATCCTCTGCAAGTGCGTGCAGATGGTGCAAACCAGATGTGAAACAGTAAGAGGCTTTCACAACCTAACAGGTTTGATCTTAAGCAGCGCAGTGAAAACTCCACTGAATTACCATATTTAACAGATACTAACAAAAATGCAGCTCTTCCTGTCAGCAGGCGCATCAGCAGCGGCTCTTTACGCTTTGTATACCATCCTCCTTTTAACGAGAATGCAAGAACGCAAGAGAGAAGTGTGACAGGTACGGTCTGTGAACTCACCAAGGTCCAGGTAGCTGACATCAAAGCGCTGCTCCAGAGACAGTTCACTCAGCAAAGAGCAGAAGTTGGAATCAGAGGGCATGCCCAGAGGGTGGCTGCGGAGTTGGAGGATCTTCTCACCGGCAGAGTTACGCAGAGAATCCCACGTGCAGCTGAAGCCTTTACTTTTACCCGACTCCACTCTGCTGCCCATGTTCTGTGCATGCAGGAATTAATGAACAATGTCATTACGTGCCATAACCATGAGACAGAAGAGTAACAACAGAGCATATGAATCAGAGATTATGCTAAATTAATAATGCTTCAGGAAATACAGAAAAATGAAATTTACAAAAATATTTTGTTACTACGTAGACGTGAACTAAACTGTAATTCCTCTAATGATGCTTAATGAACATTTGTCAGTCAGTGTAACAGCGTTTGATTCCCACCATAGTAAATGTATCATCTTCGGCGTCAGGATCATTGCTGGTCCTCATATCTACGGGGACATCATGTATGCGTGACAACATCTTAGCTGCTGCGTTTCTCTTGGCTAGCTTCTTAGATGTACCACTTCCTGGAGAGGAAGAGGAGATTGCATCAGAAACCAAAGGATGTGCTTGATATCTCTTAAGTTTTCATGCTTTAAGAGAGTAAGTCAAGGAAAGTCACAACTTAGTTGACCAGTGTGAAAGGTGCAACAAAAGATATATGATTTTGCTCAGTTTTATTTAGCTGTTTTCTATCAATAATATTTCATTAGTGAACACACACACACCCACACACAAAATTGTGTTTTCATGTCTTTGTGGGGACATCTAATTGACACAATGCTTTTCCTAGCAGCTTACCTTAACCATTAAAATTGAATGCCTAACCCTAACTGTAACCCTGACACTAAAACCACATTTTGAGTCTCAAAAATGAAACTCGTGGGTCAGGCATTTTGTCCCCACAAAGATATGTAAGCATGGTACACACATACACACGTGCACGCAGGCTGAGAGATTGAAACAAAGCAACGTACCGATTTCTACAAATCTCTCCACTCTGCAGGTCATGGTGAACTCTTTGCGATGTGCTGGACCAGACTCTTGAGTGACCGTGTACTCTGGCAAACGCCATCCTTTCTGCACCACCAGCTCCTGACAGAACAAAGTAAAAAAAAACAACCAAAAGTTGGAAAATTTATAAGCCGCAGAAATAATGAGAGCAAAATGAAACCTTGGTAGCTGTCTGCGTTTACCTGCAGAGCCCCTACAGGGTTGCATTCAGACTGCTGTGAAGTGCCTGTGGTCTTCATCTCTGACTGGGCACTACACAGAGGTTGAGAAAGAAACAAAAAAGGAAACAATGAAACCACACAACGCTCTATCTTACTCTTGTTAAGTGTTGAAATGCTCTTCATAACATTCAGGCTGGCCTGCTTATTAGATGTTTAAAGCAGACTAAGCTGGATGGATAAACATTTTTAAATAATTTTAACTGTAATGAGGTTGTTTTATAAGAAAATAAATAAAAATTAAACAGAAAAACTGACCCATCTGCATCAGTAGACACATCAACCCCAATAAACCCGTCTACTCCAATACCAACTCCAGCAGGACCTCCGAGGCCTCCCTTTAGCATCTTCAGAGCAGCCTCAGCTGCTTTGTGCTTGGCTGCCTTCTTGCTGGGCCCCTGGCCGGTGCAGCTGATCTCTCCGACGGAGACGCGGAACGTGAAGTTGGGCTGGTGGGCCTGTCCCTCGGCCTTCAGCAGGTCATACACTGGGGTCTTGCCTATCCGCGTTCCATACTCCTGCAGCAGACTGATGGGCGTCTTTCCGGGATTCACAGCCAGCATTTGCTCAATACTACATAAGAGAAAAACCTCGCATGAGACAGACTCTCCAGAAACACCTTTTCATGCAAACAAGAAAAATAATTGTATATAGGGTTTAATATACTGTGTGTAACTTCATAGTTTTACTTTGTTATTTCTTATTTATTTTATTTTCATTTTTATATCTATATTTATTTTATTTTTTAATCACTCTAGTTTTTTATTCCATTAAAAAATTAAAACAAAAACTATTAGGAGAGTAAAAATCTCACTAAATATTATGGGGAATTATATTTTTGATACTTTTTCTATATATTTTGAATTCTCTGTCTTCAAATTAGAGTTACAGAAACAATTACAGTTACATATATCTATGCTTATATTCACCAATTAAAGGAGATTTTAATTCCCCTGAAACTTGACAGAAATATCAAATAATGTTGACAGAAGAGTAGAATAAAAAAAATGAAGTAAAAAGAAGAAAAATGCAATGATTTCAAAGTCTGATCTGTATAAAAATATATGGCTGCAAAAATGATCATAAAACATCTGTGCAAAGTTGTGCTTCATTCTCACTGGAGAAACCAAACAGCCACTTCATAAATGCACGGCACAACACAGAAGAGCCACCTCGACAAGACAAGACTCAGCTGTACGTCTGCATCTAAAGGTCAAAGGTCACTCTTTCAAGGATGTCAATATTCACATTTTGGTCAAAGAAGACAGTTTGAAAGAGGAGTGAAAGAAGCCATCTATTTGAAGCACCATTTTTGAACTCTCTGCCACCTATAGTGTAGTTTTGCGATCTCTTCCCATGTAACTCACATGATAGGGTGAAGCAATGTCTCACAATGGGTTCACCCGAAACCTCTGCTGATAATGATCAACAGCCTGTTTCACATCTTGGCCCATGTGATGAGGCACATGATCAACAGTTGCTTACAATCTAGGACTTTCCAGCATTTGGTCTTAGAACTGACGTAGCTTCTCAGATGAGAGGTAAAACATCTTCAAGAAACTCAAAGAAGTCCAGTCCCTTTTCTTTCCAAGGTCCTTAGATTACGATGACCTGGACGACTGAGAACCTACACAGACATTTCTTTCTCAAGCCTTCAAGTGCAAACTGTCCACAGTAATGTGCTTTAATAATGAATAATTCAGTGTTACAACTAGATAAGCTCTATGGAGCTCAGGTCCTCAAACATGGATAGACTTAGACCAAAAAAACAAACAAAAAAACCTTTTAGTGGAGATTTCCTGTTTAATGCACGTGCTGTAGATCAATACAGCCGTCGCTGATCTAATTATTCATTAATAGTCACTTTCTATGGGAAAGGGGAAGCTTACAAAAGTTTTCAGTGTGAGTGTAGCCACTTTATTATCGGAGAGTCTGAACACCGTGTGGAAACTGAGTAAAACACCACGAATGTCACCAAAGTCTGCAGCAGCCCCGATGCCGTCATTCTGGCGTCACAGTTTTGCAACATGCAGCTGTCAGGAAAAAAATGCTAGCAGCTCGTGTTTACAGCTGTTTCTGAAACCCTACTAAAAGCCAGCCTTCCCGTCTTGTTTGTTACTGGAGGAGGAGTGTGGTGGTCTGACCGGGGGAGCTGTTAGCTTAGCTTTACCTGGAGCACCCGGAGTTTCTCTTCCAGCTGTCCGATGCTGTCTCGTCGTTCATTCCCTATTTCACGCAGACAGAGCCGGTCGGTTTCGGATGGCAGATCCCCCCCACCAAAACAGACACTTGCTTTCATCAGACGCTGTTTATTGTTCCCCCTTACAGATGATGAGGCGACGGCATAAAGCGAAGCCCCCCCGTCACTGCCGCCCCGACAGACTACAATAGTGGAGTCCTCTGGCGCGGTGATATGACGTCATCGGCTCACTGCGAAACATCTGTTTTGGCACATTTAACGTTGAGATTTCACGAAACATGTCTTTCTATGGATGGTACAGACAGAAGTAAACAACAGGCGTCAATCCAAGTATTTATGCACATTAGAGAGGTAAAAGATTCAGACATTCTTCTTTCGGCTGTTCCCTGTAGGCCACCTACAGCGCTAAACACACCATCTGCTGTAGCATCGTCTTCTGTCACACCACCCTACTACATGTCCTTTTTCGCTGCATCTATGGATCTTCTCAGTGGTCTTCATCTTTCCCCCAGCTTGGCAGCTTCATCTCCAGCTCAAATCTCAGCATCTTCAGCTCTGCCTGCTGTCTTTTGTGAGAGCCATCATCTCCAAACCGTGAACATGGTCCACATTTTTTGGTAAATGATCGCTTTCACGGTAGCCAATCTTCCACCTCAGGCCACTGAGGATTTAAAAACAGATTGATAAGAAAATAGAGAAGTCCTGCATGACGTTGAATTACATTTGTTACTTAACTTTTAAGTTATTTGTTTAGGCTGTAAATAAAAAATGGCCTTACAGTTGATTTTTTTACAGTAATTTCTACAGTTGTATATGTTTTGCATGAGGTAGGTAAACTGTGTATGTGCCCAATTATAGGCTACAGATTTTGATAAGTTTTACTGGGAATGGTGTGGTGTTCCTAAATGTAACCAGAAGAGGGCGACAGTTAGCTATAGATTTCCCCTGCTGACAGCCCTCCCTGTCGGGTCCCTGGGATGTCCAGCACCTGTCATATCCACTACAGACCAACGTGGCAACACGAGAAATTCCTTTCGTGTAGTGGACTGACCACCCTAAAGCTGAAAATAAGGTTTCGAAATCAGATATGCCCCAAAGTGTTTATTCTGAAAACATTCAGAGTTAAACCTCTCCATGGAATAAAAAGGTTATAAACTTTCAAAATAAACATTTTCAGCACTTTTAATTTATTTTAAACAATTACAATGAAAAATAATTTACCCAAGTAAATGTTTTTACAATGATATTACAGTCAGGCAGCTCTTTTAATTTGGGATCTTTTTCCCTGCTTGGTTTGGAAAGATGTGTCTTCATAAATAGCCAAAGGAACCGTGCAGACCCCAGAAATCATCTGAACCCACAACGTCAGAGTCTCCTTTCCAAATTATGTAGCAGCGCTTTCGTAAAATGTTTCATTTTATTAGCATTTTCCACCTTTCCATGAATTATCTTTAATTCCGGGGATCAACAATTAATCCCATGATGGTGCGCTTGCAAAGCCCTGCTGGCCACTGTCGAACCGAGCTCTGAAAACTTCGTCCACTGGCATCAGCGTGTCAGTGTGGATAAGCCCGCTTTGCCAAACGCAACACAAAGTGAACTGGCCATGACAATGAGTAGAGCTGCCTCCCATTTGAACTCCTAAACCTACAATCCGAGCAGCGTGATTTATCACTGACCTGAGTATCTGTGACCGGAGTGCACCCCTCCTCCTCATTACTCATACTTTCAGCGTTAATTTGTCTTATTCTCCGAGACTTTATTTATCAGCTGAAGGCTCCAATTTATTGACCTATAATGTGATAATGTAAGCGTTTTTATTGAGCTTGTGGTTAAATGTTTGACTGAATGAGATCAGCGATGAATGCCATCTCTTAGCAGTTACAGTATACTTCATCCAAATTGTATGCGCACATCCACAAACACACTTTCCTTTTCCCTGCCTTGGCCTGGTGCATTAGTATGTGTGGTTCTTTGCTTGCCAAAATCATCAGTAGATATCTTGAAGCCTCGAGCTGCTCTTTTTCCCTCCTTCCACAATATGATGTGTTTCCTTTTTTGTGTGTGTTTTGATCCTTCTCTTGCGGCCAGGCTGCGCTGTGGTGAGGCGCGGGTTCGAGTGGCGCTCCTGTGTTATTTTTGGCAGCAGCAGTGGTTGGTGGCTGTTGAGGAGAGAGGAGACAGAAGGGGGATAGCATGAAGACCAAAACCAAGGCTGTTTAAGGGATTTCTGTCTGAAGGAATTGCTTTGTAATGATCGCACACTCATTATGGATGTGCGTGCGTGCATACATTCACTCACGCACACAGAAAAAAAAAGCTGGCATGCACATTTGTTCATTTAACACTTCTCAAACACCTCATATACATGCTCCCATTCACGGACCACACACTCTGTGGCTAAATTGCCCAACCTGTGATTTCTTTTTTCTTTCTCACTGAATCTACACGATCCACTAGCTGTCATTTGAATATATCAGCACAGTCGCACCTTCGGCTTTGGTGAAATTTCTGTGTTTCTGTCACACTGGGAGTATCTTTTGCTGTGAATGTTCTCTCTTTCTCTGATGGAACCAGACTGAGACTGACATGCTCAGGCAACACGCAGTGTCAGACATTCACGCTCCTCCCTCTGCGCTTCTGAAAACACCATTTGAAAAAGATTTTCTCCGACTCCGCTCTTGGCCACAGATCAAGAGAACGTTATTACTCGACTTTATTTATTTATATATTGTGGTGGTAATGTGTGTGAATGTATGCGCGCTTGTACGTATGTGCGAGTGAGTGATATGTAATTGTGTATGTATGTGTGTTAACCCGCAAAGATATTTCAATTTCTTCAGAATATTAAATAAACATGCAGCAGCAGCAGCAGCTTCAGTGAAGCGCTGCCTGCCAGTGGGTTTTGGGTTGGATGGGTGGCGGTGGTGGTGGTGGTGAAGGGGGAGAGGGGGTTTGTGGCCGTGGCTCTGGGGGGGTGAGGCAGCTCATGGTCAGGGCCCCCGCCGGACACACTGGCGCCTCGCGCTGGAGGACTTCTGAACCACCACACTCCTCCACCAAACCCTGCCAACCCTGGCTCCCAGCTCCCACTTCCAACCCAAATCGCTCCGTTCTCCTTCTGCGTTTCGATTCTCTGTCTCTCTCTCTTCTCCCTCCTTCCTCCCTGACTGTTTTTTCCTTCTTCGGTTTCCTCATTCTGTTGATTCGCATCCAGATTCATTTACTATTCGACTCCGTTCTTTTTCTCACTTACTGCTGTTCTTTCAGTGGCGGTTCTCCCCGACTCTGTTTTCTCTACCTTTTCTCCTGAGAGCTGTGGGTTTTTACACCTCCGCCACCCCTTCTCTGCACTGTCTCTCTTAAATCCCTTCACTTTAAATGTTCCAAGGAAGTATTTAGTGGCTTGACTTAAAAAAAGTAAACAAGGATGGTTTGGGCTCTGTGTCAGTCAGAATACCGTCAAGATAGTAAGCATTTTCAAAAGGAAAGAACACTTTAATGGTGCTCTAGATATTTGTAACGGTATTAGGTTATAATGGGCCATCAATTTTCTGAGTGGTTTTCCAACCAGCTCCAAGAGATATAGGCCTGCTTGTCTTGAAAGAAAGAAACTTTCCATCATGGCAAAAATGGGGTAAACCGTGCTTTGCTGTATATGTTCTCGTGATAGATTCTGTTAAAGCTGTGATTTGCACGCGAAGACAGTCAGGATTGGGCGTACGTGATTATTGACAAACAGCCAACGTGTGCGCCTCATTCAAAGCCTGTGAGCAAATGTGTGTGTGTGTGTGTGTTTTTCTTCAAAGAATATCAACTGCACCTATTACTGCGCATATTTGACTTATGGATGCCAAACATCCTAAGTTGAGCAGATATGTCTTTACGTGTCACACATGCAATTTTCTTAACCTAATTTTCCCCTGGAAGCAATTTGTCATCCGGAGGCCATTAAATGGGAAGCATATTATCTTTTTAAAGGGGCACAGAGTCACCCACAACCCTCCCGCAGTTCCTATAAACAAAATGGCCTCATTTAGTGGTGCATTTGGTGCGTTGGGCAGTGAGGGAGCACTTCTTTTTAAACTTTAAAGGAACTTCACAGACTAGGGGAAAAAGCTTTAATATTGTAAGATTAGCATTGGAAATAAGAGAAGCATTACAAGTTTGATGGTGTGAGGCGCACGGCTTATACTTGATTCATTAACACCAAGGTCGGCCAAACCTCGATCGCTAGTGTTACGGTGAGTGTAGCACAGAGAGGAGATTTAGGAAGTAATGCAGTAGGATTGGGATTGAGTGGAATTTACTGCGCAAATAAAGCAAAATCCACAAAGATGCTTAATCACTGAGAGACATCTTTTGTACTTTGAACTTTTTCATAGTGCAGTTTCCGCTTCAGCCACGTAAAGCATTGCTAAAAAAGATAAAACAAATCATCAGCAAAGCATGCTTGACCTTTTTACCTCTTGCCCTCTGTTACCTGTAATGTCTTTCTCCTTTACCTTTGTTTCGTTTAGCCTGACCTCTTTTGCTCTTCGGGTCGTGCTATGGTTCACTCAGGTCACTTTACTTTTCCACTTTGCCACTAAAGCCTTATCTTGTCGTTACTTGCGGCCTGGCTGTTGAGCCTCTGGGCATGCTGACATTCTTTCCCATTTCAGCCCACTGTTCGCCACAGAGACCCAGGCACACCTGCAGACACCTGCGCGTTTGTCCTGCCTCTCACAAACCCCCGCCTGCACATGCGGGCAGGTAGAGGTAGGGGTACTTGTGCCTGTGGCTATATCAGAACACAGCCCATTGTTTTATGTGACTAATCAGTTAGGACCGGATAATAGCAGGAAAAGAGGTTAATTAGCATTTTGTTCAACACATCACGATGAGGGCTTTCATTCTAATGAACTGGAATCTGATCCCCTCCCCGGAGTAATTCATTAAGCTTGAGTTTGCGTAACTCATCGAGTCGTCAACGCTTAACAAAACACCGGGCGAGGAAATATTCTAAAATTGCTTCTTTGTTTTTGTTAGATCGGAAATTAGTTGCACGATGGCTTAAGCAGGTGTGTCTAGGATCCTCTGGAATAACCTTTTTAGTCTTATTAAGTCTGCTTTTGATTTTGTAAATGGAGCAAATGGGCACTTGTGGGCAAACCATATGGAACAGATTGTCCCAGCTTCTGCTTTTTGCCTCTATGTGTCACTGCATGTATATTTTCTTTTTACGCCGTTACTTGAAGAAACACTTAATGTTTCCTGGCTTTCTAAATAAAAGAAGTAAAAATAAAGTTAAGGCTACAGTATACCACCACCACTGCAAAGGCAGTGTATTTTAAAAAGGCAGAAAATACCAGTAGTAGCAGAGGTTTTAAAAGCCACTGACCGTCTTCTTAACCCCCACCCTCTCTCGCTGGCCTGACACACCCTACCCATACCTCATTCCCCATGTTTGCCTTTTATGTTGTGGACTCGACCGTGTGCCCACTTCAGACCACCATAAACATGTCGGCCCTTGATGACAGAGTCGGCCCCGGGACGTTTTATATAAATTGACCTCAACTACAGCTCATTAGAAGCCCTAAATTGGAACCATGCAGCCTGGGAAGTGTAAATGTTACAATAGTAGAGTCAGTAGATTCAGGGGGGTTCAAACAGCGCAGGTCTCCTCTTCACTTCTGTCATGAAAGTCTTTGCTTTTATGAAGCCAGTGTTTTGTTTCCTGTTCTAGTTTAATGTGTTGTAATTGTTTACGAATTGAGATTTTCCATGAAACTTGACCATATCTCTAAATTTGTCATGTGTGCTTGCCTGCCTTGCTATATCTTGTTGGAAATATGCTTAATTATGATAAAGATTAGCTCCTTAAATCATTGTTGTCTGGCACTGCTACTGGTGCACATATCTGGGGCCTCATTTGGTCTATCCTGAGGCTATCTCTCTTTTAAAACACAGCGGGAAATCCGCCCTCCTAAAGTATTTTTATTAGTCTGGAAAAGCCTGAGTAACCTGACAAGAAAGTGGTGAGAAGGACAAACAAGTGCCACTTGTTGGGACTTTAACTCTTCCTCAAACCCAGGAAAAGTGGCAGAGAAAAAGAGAGGCGTTTTAAAAGATGCTTGGTGATCGGCTCGGCCTCTTCTCACCGTCTGTATCTCCACATCGTGTCTTTCGTCCCGCATCCTTCCTTAATTGGGGTTCTTTGTTTGACCGCCTCCCTGGATAAACAATACAACCACAGCTCCCCTGTCCTAATCCCCTCTTCTCCTCTCTCCTGACTCTCCTGGAGCATCGCTCTCAGTAATTACCCCTCTCGAGCTGGAGAGTGGAGTAATTGTCTTGAGTGTAACTACAGTGGATCTCTGAAAGGGGGTCATTGTGTGGAGTTAAGACTCCAATTCAGTGAACAGCTTTGTTTGTGCTGCAAAAGATAATGAAAGTATTTGGTTAGCCAGGCTGAGGTGGAAATACAGTAAGATATGAAAAGAATGATGTGAAGTGAGGCGAGAGAAGGGGATAAAGTGTGATAAAATGATAAAGTGAAGGCTCATGGAAGAATTGCTTCTCATTATTTCCGTCTTCATGTTAAAGCTTCCTCTCTGAAGGATTTTGTGTAGGAACAACACAAAAAAATTCTCTTTCAAATTTTTTTTTACTCTTAAAAGCACCAAAATTGTCATTATTCCACACCATAAACCTTACAACATGTGTACCATGCTTCATCGCTATTTACAGTATCTTTTACACTCATTTCACAACAAGTCAGCAAACACCAGGACTTCAGTTCTGCCTAAATAACAAAATTAATAATCAAAAAAAATTAAGCTTTTACTTTACGTTCTTTGTTGTTGTAACCAAAGCGTTCTAGACATCATTTCTTGTGGAAAGTTATACAAAACATAGAAAATGCATAAAAAAATAACACACCTATATACATATCTATATACTGTTGTCAATATATAGTATGCACAAACAAGGAAGAAAGCCCTTATTGATCATTATTTTGCCAGGTATGGAAGACTTCACAATTAAAAGATTATATAAGAATTAGTTTACACGCACATTTAACTTCAAGGTTTATAAATAAAACTTTTAAAACAACCCCCAAACTCTTCCTTATAGCTAATAAATAAGAAAAACAGTCTTAATTTAATGTATTTCATTTTCTTTTTGGCCGGCTTCAACCATCTTGCATTCTTTTTTTTCTTCAGGTATTTCCTGCAGGTGCAAGATAATCTTTCATGTGTATAATTTAAGACATAAATTAGATTATTAAAGTAAATATGAAATTAAATTAGACATGGTAAGAAGCAAACAGCAAACAAAGGCGAAATGCAATACCTTGTACAACAGAGTGTCTTTGGCAACAAAAAGCTGTAAGTGTAGATTGTCCATTGATTGTTTCAAGAATAATGAATAAGTATCAAAGTACAGCTGTAAATCAGATTTTTCTCTAGGCATGCAATGCTTCATCGACTCCATCATCCTGACCATAAGTCTCGTTTTAAAACTACTTTCCTTTTGCGGCTTCAGAGCTCTTTTCCTTCTGCTTTTGCAGATTAAATTTCCCCAGTGGTTTGTCTCATTTGAAAGGCAGAAAATGTGTGTAGGCTACAAAATTTGTGCACGAGCATGTTTACTTGTATGTGTTTCCGAGCAGACGCACTTTTGTGTATCCCCCTGCATGCATGCATTATGGATGTTTGCACATTTGCTCATAGTTATTCCTGTTCACATGTGCATATTGTGTTCATTTATGTCTCGGTCGCTCATATTTGTGCATGTGTGTCTGCATACATTTGAGGATCGCTATATGTTTGCAGGCTTGGTCATATTTATGCTTGTGTGTGTGTGTGTGGTCCAGAAGTGATTTCTACCTTTATCAGTCCTGTATCATATCAAGTCTTTTCAAACACTGTCTCCTTTGTATGTCTTGAAATAAAATACAGTTTTGTGTTTGTAAGGTGAGTTTTTTTCCTATTTTAAAAAAAAAAAGAAGAAAAGAAAACACCTCTAAAATTTCAAGACTTCATAAAGTCAGATCTCCAACAAGCCACTGCTGTTCTCCACCCCGTTAGGCGTGCCAGTCTTCTCATCTCCGTTGGTGATTTGGTCAGCGACAGGATTGGTAGGTACAGCGCTGGAGTTGAGCTCTGTGGTCTCTTCGCTCCGAGAATCTGCGTCTCCCTCCACAGCTACAGCTTTGCCCTGCATTGCAGAATCTGCGTGGGTCTTCTGATGCTTTGAGAGGTGGTCGCTGCGTGTGAAACGCTTGTTGCACAGTAGACAGGTGAACTTCTTCTCCCGCGTGTGGGTGCGCACATGCCTCTCCAGTTCATCAGAGCGGGTGAAACGTTTCCCGCAGAACAGCCAGTTGCAAACAAAGGGCCGTTCGCCGGTGTGCCAGCGCAGGTGGGCTTTCAGGTGGGAGGCCTTGCCGTAGACTTTCCCACAGCCCGGGATGTGGCAGCTGTGCACTGGTTTCTTCCTCAGGGATGCAGCAGAGGCTCCCAGCCTCTCCAGCTCCTGGCAGTTGGGGCAGTCGCATGAAGACCGGGTGGGTGTAGCCCCTCCGCTGTAGCCCCCTGATCCCCTAGCAGGCTTTAGGCCCATGGGATTCTCAATTAGCCCTGCACTTGGCACAGGTTTGGGCTTGTACATGTCCTGGGGCAGCATGTGCTGGGAAGGTTGGAGGAGATGTGAGGAGGAGCCCAGTCCCACGGAGGGGTAAGGAGCTGGGTTAAGTGGTGTAAAATCGGTGCTGTAACTGGGCAGCTGTGGGCTAAGGGATGCCTGTGGTGCCACAGGCTGCAGGGAGGCCTGCAGACCTCCATCTGCTTGGGGCTGGGTTGCTGACAGCCAGTTGGAGTTGGGATGGACATCCCACCAGGAAGATGTAGCATTAGCTGGAGCAGCAGTTATGCCAGGGTGGATACCAGCCTTATACCACGAGCCATAGGGGTGTGTCATATCCAGCGAAGTATACACACTGGTGAGACAATCGGCTGTAGCATGGGCCTTGGACACTAAAAGAGACGGGTCCTGTGAGACCGAAGTCTGGAAGGAGTGAGAGAAAGGGTTATATTCTGTAGTGTAGCCTCCGGCTGAAGGAGGGGGACTTCCAGTGGGTGTAAGCAGCCCGCCACCTCCTCCTCCTCCAGCTGAAGTGAAGGAGCCAGTGTAGGAGTCTGCCAGGCCACTGCTGTCTGTGGTCCGCCCGTTCTTGGCTGTCTGAAGGTCAGAGGTCATGTTGTAGGGCTTCTTTACTGGAGAGGTGCTGGCAGTCTTACCGGGTGTAGCTGAATCCCTGACAGGGCTGGTGCTGCCAAACTTGTTGCAGGTAGCTGTTAACATAGCCAGAGGACTGGAGCCATAGCGTGCGTCTTCCTGGGGAGGAGGAGACACGGGAGAAAATTAGACTTTCTGCAGGAAATGGCTGCTTGCTGCTGCCGCTTCTGTCAGTGTCAACTCTAATAAAAAACGTATGTGTGACAACCACCGCTGGCTTTTCCTCCTCTCTCTGTTTTCTAAGTGGTCACGGCAATTTTAAGCAGTGGATGTTTGTGTTTGTAAAGTTTCAGCTGTGCTCAGCAAAGGAGGAACTCCCTCACTTTTAGTTTTGCCCAAACTGCTTTCGACCAGCTTAAATTAATTTAACATTTATGTTTGCTTGAAAAATACAAAAATCCACCTGAATTTACAGTTCTCCTCATACAGACGATTTAAATGTGTACCAGGTCATCTAACTGCCATCATGGCAACGAGCTATTGTTCTCGGTCGTGATCTTATTATCTACAAAGCAAAAAATGTGCCATTTTTGAACTGAACCAATTACATCAGATTATATATTTGACTCAAACATGTCACAAGAATTTAATTTGATATATGTTAGGTTCCCACGTGGCAAGTACCTAACACTACAGCAGAACATTTCAGAGACTTTCTGCTGGATGCACAGTTTACACATGGATATAACTAATAAAACATCAGCTTATATTCCTGTATTTCTGTTTAAACTGTGCGCTGAGGTGTCAACTATCAAACCAGCTGTGACACATCTGTAACTACAGCATGTAACTTTTAATATTCGTGGTTAAAAATCAAATATTCTGCTAACTTTTAGATATAAATCTGACTCACTCTCAGTTCATTCACTTTCTCTCACGACACACTCTGGTTGAACTCCCTTCTTCATGCAGATTTTCCTCTGTTTTGTAAGTAATAAAAAGTCGTGACATCCTTTAAGATGAACTAGCCTGCTGCCCTTACAGGACCTGTTATCTTCATGTCTTGCACCTCTGACAGTTCCCAGATAATGAGCAATCACATCTTAAGGAAACGCCAAATTTGTGCAAATATAGGCTCGGTGTGAATAGAAATATTTCAAGGCACTTTCAGCAGCTTAGCCTTTAGTATATTTAAATCTCTTTTATCACTCTTATTTTTTTCTCTCTCACTATGTATAATAACCTATGAGACGACCTGAAACTACTGGAAGTTTCTTCCTTAGTAACTGCACGACTTTCTTATAAATATTCCACCATCAAAAGTTTGTATTAAGAAGAAGGAGAAAAATGAAAAGCTACTTACAATTACATTCCCTACCTCCAGAATAGATGCGGCCATCCCTGAGAAACAAAATCCTTAGGAAGCTGAGGGGAGTGGGAGCAGCGCAGCTCAGAGTCCCGGGACAGTTTGGAAGAAGTTGGGCTCTAACGCGGGGAAGTGTTTTGAGGCACTCGGGTCCCGCCCCCTAATTATAGGCTATGGGCTCTTTGAAGACTCGCTAAGAAGCAATAAAAACCCAGAGCCGAGGGAAAATGGACGGAGATTGGTGGCTAAAATCAGGACATCCCACCTCCCCAAACGAGAGTGTCGAATCTTTTTTTTTTTTTTCAATATAAATGCATGAATGGGTTAGTCATCAATCACAGTGTGGACATTATTTCAATTTCACTGGCATTATTTTTTCCACTGGGATTAGTCCAGTGGAGTCTGAAGGAAACGACTACATTTGACATCCCCTCAGAGAATTATCTGGATGGACTCGTCTATAGAGACGCTCACGCACGCCCTCAGTTATAAGCTGGCTGTGTTAGACACTAAACTGCAAAACTGCAAATAAAAAGTGCGAAACGACTTAAGCTTTCTCTTCTGCTTCTTCCCCGAGAGAGCAAAATAACAAAAGAACGTGTAGCCTCTGCCACATAAATTTAAAAAGAAGAAAAAAAAATGAGTTGACCGAGTCTGTGGTTTCTATCAGAGATTTTATTATTCTGGTTTCAACCCTCTCTCTGTTTCCAATATTCTTAAACGCATTTAACTGCCTTTTCAGACATTAACTGTGATGGTTAAAGAGGTTAAACTACAGAGGCATGCGAAGAAGAAAAGGACCCAGTCATTAAATAAAATAAAGAAAAGATTATCACATCAAATAAAATGAATTAAAACGCTTAGTTTAAAAAAAAAGACCAAAAAGAAGAAGACTGTTTCCTTAAAGTGGGAAACAGGGGAAGAAATAAAAGATTACGATTAAGAAAAAAGTGGAAAATCCAGAAATATGTAAGAAATATGTCTTGCCTAAAAAAATGTATTTCAAATATTATGTTAACAGAGGAAAACTGTTAGTTAAAAAATGGGCTGTTGGATAAATTTTTCAAGTTGTTTTAAGTTTGCCAGCTTAAAACAAGTTTGCTCCCAAACTGCTTTTACACTGACTGGAGCAGTCTCTATGCATGTTAGACTCCATTTAGATTCACAAAACATAAACTATAAATTACTATTTGTTAAGAGGTTAATTCTATTGGTTTCCATTATATCCAAATTATTATATTATCACAAACCTGCCAGACTCAACTCTTCAGCTGATTCTTTTCATTGCATAAAAATATAAAGATAAAAATTCATACACATTATGTAAATGTGTTAAATTAAGGAAAATTGAGCATAAATTAAAAACTGTACAAAACTGTACATTTATGGATCATAACATGAGCCCAAGAGTGAATGAAGGGCTTTTTACAGATTATTATTATAAAAACATTAGGGTTTAAATAGAGTGGAATCTGTGGGTAAGCAGGCCTAAATGAAGGTTAAAGTAATGATATTTGCGGTGTTTACAGTACAATAACTGTGTTATAAATGGGGAATAAATATACATGTCAGTAGTAGCTTAGTTTTGATTGAATTTAAATTTCTTCTACTGAGGCTTCCCTACACGACAGGCCACGTTCATTTGACAGATTTTGTTCACTGGTTAAAAAAGTCAAAAACTCAACTCTGAGTCTCGAGTAAGACAGAATCTCAGTGCCTTTTTGTGGGCGTCTCGTTTTCTGAAGGAGAGCACAGAAGATTAAAATTGTTGTCAAAAATAAACATATAATTTCTGTCCTTATTTTCTCCTCAATTACAGGGCATGGTCAGAGCTGGGCTTGTCGTTCTGGAGAGTCTGGCCCTCACATGAACACAGCGGCTATATTTGGCAGTCTGCTCTCCAACTGACCTTCATCGCTTTATTTTCTTATTCCAGAAGGAGTGTGAGTGGAAGAACAAAGGCCACAACATGCGATAGTTCACACTGTCACACACTCCTACAAGACTGTGTTCGCAGTCATATAAACTTACAGAGCCCACTATGAACTGAGGGCAAAATGATGAAATATCTATCTATCTATCTATCTATCTATCTATCTATCTATCTATCTATCTATCTATCTATCTATCTATCTATCTATCTATCTATCTATCTATCTATCTATATCCTCAGATGTGTTCTACGTGGCGGTCTTTTGACACTTTCAGGGGTATTTCTCTCCCCTCTCATTTGACACATGGTCTCTTACTGGTGTAAGGTCTTTAAGTGAAGTGTTCCTTTTCTTCTCACTCTTCATTAATACTTTATGTCTTACACTTAAGTGAAATGATAGGGGATGTAAAAAAAGCTCTTATACTCCTGTAAAGTGGTCTGCCATGGGCTGTTTTTCCTCATTTTTTATGAGACTTGTAGTAATCTGAAACTTTGGCGTGCTCCCATTTACAGTTCTCTTCAAAAGACAACAAGTGAGATCTATAATTAGAGAATGCGTTGAGCTCTTAACAGGCTCTTCAAAAAGCTTTCTCTGCCCTATTTGCTATTTTCTACGTTGTGTGGCTTGGATTTTTGCGTATAGACACTGTGAGCCCAATGAGCCTTTGGGTGTTGGGTGGGCATAGTTTTGTTGCTCAGGGCTGATTATAAGTTTCATTATGTTACTGTACATGTGACAACTATCACGTTTCATAGCTAGCTCATCAACCCATGTCTGTTTGAATGAATTAAGTGGTGTGTGATTGCCTTCTTAATAAAATCATTTTTATTTAGCCCAGTTTTCTGTCTAACCACCTGCAAGTTTAAATAAATAGATTCCTTTACTGCTTCATCAGTAATATAGAGCTGTTTAAACTTGGTTACACCTTACTCTGAGATTTTATGCAAACATGGAAGTCTTGTGCGTTTCTGTTGCACAGACACAGCACTGGCATCATCTTCTTCTTTGATTTGATTGCTGCTGGCAGGTAGATACTTCATTTTTGTTATTTGCCATTAAGTTCCAAAGATACTTAGAAAGTGTATCTTCCACCAAGACCAATACCCAAACTGGTAGTTTTGAAGAAAGTGTTCTGGGTCTGCACCAAAACTGTAATTTCCTAACTCTCTATGTCTTCACCAAGTTTGATTAATATATTTTCTGTTGCCTAATCTTCTTACATGACTGAAGGAATGCAATGAAACAGCATCCAACACAGACTGTCTCTGCCCTGTTCACCAGTGGACAGTTTTTCTGTGGGAGCTGTTACACGTAGGCGAAGAATCTGCTGGTTTTTCAGCTTAATGGTGGGTTGAAATGATGGCAGTGACAATCTGGTGCTTTAAAAAAAATCATGTTTCATACTCCGTACATGACAACAATCACAGTTTGAAGTTTTTACTAATTAAATGAAACACAATATTTAAAAAGGCTCCTGTATGTCCTGTCTGTTCATGTAACACTGTGAATATTAATGCTATTAATGCAATTTGAGAATCTGCCCCAAAAGGTTAAACGTCCAGATGGACAGAATCAACCTTTTGGGATTTACTTGCCTACATGATTGAGCATACATCAAGATAATTTGAGAAATTAGTTTTATTGTTGTATAATTATATGTTTATATGTCAGCAATGTAAAATGAAAATGATTAAAAATGATAAAAAGATTTCAGTCCTGATATCAAAATCCAGTTCTTCCACATTCTACCATACGTGTTCCTCGCCTTTTGGAGTATTTTCTAATTTAAAAAGAAAATATTGAAAAAATGTGTACACAGTGGAAGAGATTAATGTGAATAGGTCAGGATGTAGGCAACTCTGGAGCAGCTTATTTTATGTACTTGTGTCTCGGAAGTGGTAAATTTTAAGTTTATAATCTGGATGATTTTAAAGAAAATATATATTTTGGTACCTGGTACATAGTACCTCGATATTATAGTCTTTTAGTAGTAAGTTCATACAGGAGGAATCTTTCCTGAAGTGGTAGTAAAGAGTAGGACAGATGATTTGTTGTGGTGTTTAATAGAAACGAAGCTCAAGACTGCCTAAAACATAGCAGCAGGACTTTCTAGATGTTAGGTAATGTCTACATATACTAGGGATTTTTTCATAGGTCTTTCTAACTTTCTGTTTTCTACATTGGTTTTAAATTGGCCTCTTGGTATCATTAGACCATTACAGCAACCAAGTAAGTGTGTATAATGGTGGATCAATGGAATATCTCGCCGTAATGCATTTCCCTTGAAAATTCCCTTTTGGGCTGCAACCCTCAGAAAATTAACAATGTTAATAATACTGCGACAGAGGGGGAAAATTGAAATGATTAGATGTGTTTTACTTTGGTGCTGATGGAAATGTGGTGAGAGGGAATCAGGGTCAGGGATAGACTTGCCTTGCAGCATGACTCCGTGCTATTTTTCCAGGCTGTGTGGTCAAAGATTCAGAGAGCTTGTCAACGGAAAATGGGAAAGCGAGAGAAGTGGGGGAGAAGAGAGAAAGAGGGAGATGTATAGACAGCGAGACTGGGAGGAAGAGAGACAGGGCAGCGCAGCGGTGACTATCGCGTTCATTTGTACTGCTGTTGATGCTGCTGATTGTGGCCTCCGATGTTAGTCACTTATGCCTTCGTTGAGTCCGACATGAAAAGGAACAACATGCTTTTAATAAAATGACCTGCCAGGCTCGAGCGGTCTGTCTCTGCTTTGGGGCACGTTGGTGGTTTTGAGTAATTTAACCGCCAACAGGCTACATTTCAACCAGTGGACAGAACATATTCAGACACGAGACACGGTGGTAGTCACATACAGCAGGGACGATGATGTACCAGTAACCTTGTCTCTATATGACGAAAAGAAGCAAAATGTTTCCCTCTGCTTATACCTGAATAGCTAAAAAGTTTGTTCCCATTTTGTGCCTCTGTGACCACACATGTCCAAAATAATCCCACATGGGGAGACATTACATTTTTCCCTCTATGAAAAACTTTTACTGTTAGCAGAACGACACACTTATTATCCCACTTTGGAATCACGAATGTTGTGCAACATGCTGAATATGTTGTTGCTGTTCAGCGTATTACATGCTACTATCAGCTCTGGAAAATACAAAAGTTCA